GAGTGGATCTGTCTTTTTTTTTAATTCAGTTTTCCGCCTATTAAATTGTTTTCAGTGCACTTTAGACATAAATTACAGCCTGTTCTGTTAGATTTTGTGTTTTGCTTTACTAGACTCATAGTCCTGAGAAATGATGTTTGCGCTTCCTTTGCTCATTACGGTTTTTTTTGCTTCATTGTCTTAACTGTACGCTCCAACCCCTCCCCCCGCGCCCTCCCCTCGTCTCCTTTAAATTTAAAAAATTTCCTAAGTTTTTTTGTACATGGAGATCACCAGGTCGGTCGCAAAAATAATTTGTAGTGGTTAACTATCAAGTTTTCGTAAGCGGCACAGAGAAAGCAAAAATACTGCCTTATAACATCGTATGAGTTTTTAACTAGCATTAGCAGAAGCCAATAGATCAACTAGTGAAATCGGTAGTTGGAGCAGAAATCTTACACCAGCAACTCCCAGATATTTCCAGATCGATAAGAAAAATTGGAAACATTTTTGTTGAGTAGAGCAATTTAGGAGACCTTTTCTGGGAAAACGATTTGGAAATATTTTTTCCACTTTAGCTCATATCTCGTTTGTAAAATCACTGGTAGTATGATTTATGCATAAAGTTTGTTAATATTAAGCGAAAAGAAGAAAATAAACGACAAAGAAAATATAAAATTTCTTAAGAGCGCATAGCATTTCTTAACAACCACAGAAAAATAAGTTCGGAACGGTCAGAACAGGCTTGTGAAGGTCTTTACTTAGATGGACGATACGGAAATATTCTAGGATAATATGACGTTAATAGTGAAGGCCTGGCGAAGTCAGTAACGAATAAAATACTAAAATAGAACTAGTTTTCAAAATTAAGCTGCAACTAGGATTTTTATTTTCTCTTCATTTTCCCACCTTATCCAACTTTAAAATCCAGTAGCAAGAATCAAATACGAGTGCAGCACAGTTTTGCGGTCGGGAGCGGTGTTTGTTTGGAATTCCTCCACAACCGGTCGAGTGCAAAGCAAGTTTTTGCGTCATCACAGTAAAAGTCCAGAAGAGCATGGAAAATTAATTTAAATGTTTATGTAAAAAATTCCTTCCGCAATTCTTATAGGTGCTGATTGGTTCATACTCCTTGTACATCAGCAGCATGTTTTTATGAGTATGCTTGGGCATCGTTGTCATTCAGCATCAGAGCCAGAGGAATGAAAATTTTGTAAAGCAAGTGATATTAGTTTAGGAAGTGATATGACTGGGGATCTTGCCAGTAAGTTGTCACGGGCGACTACACGGTGCTGGATAAACCAGTACGCACAGGACCTTCACGATAGTTTTTTCAATCGAATTAGCATTAGAATCCTGAGAGTTTGAAACCGTAAAAAACAAGGAAGAATTGAAATGCTGCTAATACTAAGTTATACAGTGGGATAGGGTGTTTTAATTCATTAAGTCGCATACATTCTGCATTAGCACCACAGCTGCATCGCAAGATTACAATGGTAAAATTTCCCTCATATGCTCAATTGGCAGCTCTTTTTATGCGTTTTTGCTGTGCGCTATAGCGTT